GTTTGCCAGGTCTAATGGGTGGTCCACAATGAAAGATTGACCTCGGTTGGAAAAGTGCCATTGAAGATGCATCTTTTTCTCTTGAGAAAGGGGTTAAAGCCAACTATCATCCCTCCACTTCATTTTGAACTCACATGTCCCCCCTCTACTATTCAAAAAGTGATCAATTTCGTCCCTCCATCTATTCCATGGCTAACAACGTCAATTTTTACCATTTTAAAGCCTAACGGTTTGATGTTTAACATATATTTCTATATTACTCTTTTCTCCAATTTAGTTATAACCAATGCCACATCATATTTCATAATAATATATTTCTACGTAAATATTTTACCAACTTTTTTTTTTTCAATCATTAGCAACGTTTATTTATCTCTTTTTTTTTAAAACTTTTTTTATTAACTTTTTAGTTGAGTTAATCAAAGAGATATTTTTTAAAACTATGATAGGTAATTAAGTAAATTTAATTCTTTTTTTTTAAAGAAAGAGATAAAAAAATTTTAAATTTTATTAAGGTTTAAAAATTTTCTAACTAAAAAAAAGAAAAATTCCTTATACCTATTACTATCCATTTAATTGTAAACTTTGGGTGGTTTAAGATGAATTCACAATTTGTGAATTCTATTCATGTGCATAAATGGACTAAGCAAGTACATGAGTGAAGTATTTGTCTATATTTATATTTAATTTAAAAATTAATAGATATAAAATTTTGATACTCAATATTTATGTATACTTGTAAATATACTTATATATTTATTAAATATTATAACTTTTTAATACAAATTAAAATATAATTAAATCTATTGTAAAATATATATATATATATTTTTTTTAGTTCATACATAATATACAAACATAAGTTTCTTTAAATGCACTAGTTTAATGTAAAAAGTGTGCTTTTAAAATAACCCTTAAAAAAAATGCTTTTCCGTCTTAAACTATAAAAAATGATTATTATTTTAAGAAAAATTCAAAAAATATTTGTCTCCTAAAATAAACAAATAAAAGTTGACATATATAAAATAAAACATCATATCCTTAATTAGTACCTTCTACTACCTTTCATGTTCATATTCTAACTTAATTATGTATTTTATTATAAGTATAAAGTCATATATATTTTTATATATATGATTTTTTTATATATATTTATAATCAAGATGTTTCCAAACTAGCTTTTTTTTTTTGGCATCTTGATACTAATTTTTTGCATGTTAATATTAATCCTTATCTGGTACCTTCTACTACCTTTCATGTTTGTATTCTAACTTAATTATGTATTTTATTATAAGTATAAAGTCATATATATTTTTATATATATGGTTTTTTTATATATATTTATAATCAAGATGTTTCCAAATTAGCTTTTTTTTTTGCATGTTAATACTAATCCTTATCTGGGTTATTTTAAGGACATACTTTTTATATCGAACTAATGCATTCAAGGAAATTTACATTTATATATTTTGTATGAATTAAAGTATATGTTTTGTAATAGGTTTAATTATATTTTAATTTGTATTAAAAAATTATCATATTCAATAAATATATAAGTACATCTACGAGTATACCTATATTGAACAAGTTGAATAATAAAACTAAATTTTTAATACCTAAATAAATATTGAGTATCAAAATTTTATATTTATTAATTTCTAAATTAAATA